AATAAGACATATCTCGGCTGATTTGCAGTCAAATAAACTAACATACTTAAGAGTGAGAGCCGGATGTGAATGGGACAAGGCCCCATCACAAAATGACCATTATTGTCGTTTGCACATATGCCCGACGCACAAGTTCCGGTCGAAAAATAAAATAATATTTTAAAGTGTTTCTACTTTTCGACCAATAAAAATGCTTCCCTACTAATTATACTTGCATCATTTTTCGAGCCTGTTAAGCCATAAAAACGCCATAAAAGGGGTCACAGGGGGAAGTACAACAGCAGTCAACAGGAGGCCAGGGAAGAGACCTGTCACGGGCAGTCAGCAGCAGTAGTTCCACGCCAACCAGCGAGAACTACTATGAGAGATCAACCCTACAAGGTAGCTGTCCCCAATTGAAATAAATCACGTAAATCTATTTCTGCTGTTGTCAGATTTCTTTCTTGCAACCATACACTTGTCTATAACATTGTGAACATAAGGGCATTGCTTAGCAAACCCGTTTGCTAAACGTAACATGGAGAGCTGTGCTACGACTGCTACTACACAGAGATATACCAAACGTAACACTTGCCCAAGGTATTAGGTCATCTGACAAGTTGTCTGTTAGTCACACCAACATCGTTGGATTTTTAGTGTACATGCACACACACAGACACACACACATATATATATATATATATATATATAACTGTAGTATAAATTTTAGCTTGTTTCCAGTTAAGCAAAATATCACTTAAGCCTCTCAACCTTTTCATACCAATTTCCGTAATGTAGAATCTTTTTTATTGAAACATTCTCCAGATATTTTAGCACTTTGTAAAACTAATTTAAACTCTTCTACTTCTACCAGTGAATTGTATGTCCCAGGTGTAATAGGTGAAGATATCACTTCACTATTTTTTAATTATTTTTCTATTATTTGTAAAACACTTAATTATTCTAAGTTTCATAAATACATATAGAATGAGAAAGATTATATATATATTTTTATACTAATGTTCATATAATACAAGGCCCAAGAACCACTTAAAGTAGAGGGTTACTGTGTAGTACTGTATAAGCATAAGAAAAAGCAAGAAATGAAGTTATGCAGGAAAGTTAACAGTTAACCCTAGACTTGAAGAGGTCAATATTGTAATGATTGGGAAAACATTCTGCCAGGAATCTGTTCCACAAAGTGGCATATCTTGGGAAGAATCTGAGTGGAACTTCTTACTAATGAAATATAAAGAGAATGTGTACATGGCAGGGCAGGTCCCAGTTGCAAAGGCCAATGTGGGTGGGACTAAGGAATGTAGCTCTTCAAAACACATCCCATGGAAATAGTGATAGAGGACCAAGAGACTTGCAATTTTTCATCTGTGGGGAAAGGGGTTGTAGGGTGGAAAATAATTCATCACCCACAAGTCTGCATAAAATCTTTTGAACTCTATCAAGAGAGGAGACTGGGCAGCAATACTTCATTTTTGGTCTGATCTGGCTCTTGTAAAGATAGTAGTATAGCAGAGGGAGTCAGATACTTACTGATGTGGTACAATAAACTGACCATTTTTCAAGCATCTGTAGCGATGGATCAGATAGATGAGTTCCACTTGAGATCTGGGGAGAGTTGAGTCTCAATAGACATTCACGGGAAAGGATCCTTCTTGAGAGATGGTCTATTGATCATGATAGGTGAGTGTTCAAGGTCTGCTTGGTGATAGTGGAACATTACTAATTTGTAAGAGGAGAGATGAGCTGCTATATTCTGGTCTTCCAGATTTTTGAAGGTGCACCTATAAACTCTTGCATCATCTGCATTGATACTCACTAAAGATCAGGGTATGGTCTTAGGCAGATCATAGAAAGAGGTTAGAATTGAAGAGAAAAACCGATGGGACACCAGAATTGATCTTAAGGGTTTCTGATGACTGGGCATTAACAATGACCTTCAGGGACTTACTTGTTAGGAAGGACATGATATTTGATAGAACCCTTCCAGGCATTCCATGGAGAGTTTTGTAGCAGCCTGTAATGCTACACCATGTGTAAGGCCTTGGATTAATTGACACAAAATATGTGACTTTTTTAATAGTAATTGCATTATATAGCATTTACTCCAATATATATATATATATATATATATATATATATATATATATATATATATATATATATAGTAAAGGTAATAAATCTGTTGGTATATAATTCAAGTGGATTGAGATAACATCCATTCATCCTGATGCATTAAAGTTCAAGTTCTACATAGTGGTGGTTGAAAGTTACTAATTTGGTGTTGACTGTATTGAATTTTACAAGCCAGTCCTTCCCCTATTGAGTTACCTGGGCTGGTCAGAGGAGAGAATGAGCCACTGGGTTCTGGTCTTCCAGACCTTTTGAGGTGCCCCTATAAACTTTTGCATCATCTGCATAGATACTCACTAATGATTAGAGTATGCTATTAAACAGATCATTAATATGCAATAGAAAGAGGGTAGGAATGTAAAGAGAACCCTGAAGAATGCTGGTTTATGGGCTTCCAATGACTGGTCATTAACGACAACTTTCAGAGCTTACCTGTTAGGAAGGACTTGAGAATTAAGGAAATCCATCCACGGATTTCATAGCCAGAAAGTTTATGTAGCAGCCCCTGGTTCCACACCTTGTCATAGGCCTTTGTATATATCTCGAGCAATGGTACTAATGATGAATTTATTACCTTGTCCCTCACCGATTCTGTGAGTAATGACAGTTAAGCTATCAGCTGTTTATCTACCAGGGCATACTGATCAATCAGGAGGTTGTTCCTGTTGATGATGTTGCACCTACAAGTATGGCTATTGTTGGATTAGCTCTTTTGTCTAGAGTAATTAGTTAAAAACTGATAACTCCTCAATTTCTCAGAGTTGATGCTTGTCAGAAACAAAATCTGTATGAATCTTTTCCAGATATGCATCAGAACCTTTGCTGATAGAAAGGATAATTTTTAATTATCGACATGTTGGGTTGGTGCATAATTATCAGGCGTTTTTATACAATATTTATTATGAAAAAAGAAACATAATTCAACAATAACGTTTTTAAATGATTATTCTGGAGCTTATGATTATTAACACGATAATCTGAAAATAAAATAATATTTTTATTAAAAAAAGTAAACAAAACAACAATTTTTATTAACAAATAATTTGCCTAGAAAAACGCCTGATAATTATGCACCAACCCAATAATTTTCTGTAGCAAAACAAATGGAAATATTAGGAACAATTCTATTGTAGAACATGCCTTATACAGGCATAGACATTTTTCAACTTATCACCGGGCACTTCTTCTGGATGGGCATCTTGAGGTGGTGCAATGGTTAGCAAGCTTATCTTGCTAGAACAATTATCACTGAGTAGTGATATCGATCATCACTGGGTGTCCCACACTTTCAGTCTTTGTGCCAAATCTCTGAAGCTATAGCTCCAGAGTTTTCCAGGAGGATTGTCAGAGGAGGAGAGTTTTTTTTCCTGTCGAAGTAGATGCTGCAGTTATAGTGTTTATTCCATGTCAGGGAGTCCTCTCCTCCCTTGCATTCCCTCCCACTGTTGCCTAACATCTGTTATGTAGCATTGGTATGACCAGCTATGACTAGCTTAGGCAAGAGCTTTATGCAAAGTTAAGATTGTAACAATTCGGGAAGCATTGGAGGTGGTATAATGACAAGATTTCTCTTTAGTAAATAATACAATACAATGACCAAGAACCACTAAAGTTTACTGACTGACGATTTTTAAGAGGAGGAAGTAAGTGCAGATTATGCAGATATGTAGGATAGATCATGGTTAACCCTTGACTCAAATAAGTAGCATTTAAGGAAGCAATACAGCTGGTACAATGAAAAGTTTTCTTTTTACTAAATATGGCAGTACAAACCCCAAGGTCCATTATTGTAACAGGTTAAAGAAAGTGAAGATTATGAGGATATTTATAATAGATAACAGTTAACCTTTGAAGTTAAGGAACCATTAGGTGTGGTACAATAACAACACTTCTTTTTATTAAATTTTACAATACTAGGCCCAAGTGCCATTCAAGGTTGTTGTAAGTGGAGGCAGCAGGTGAAGATTATTAGGATATGTGAGATAGATAACTGATAACCATTGTCTCACAGAAGTTAGGACTGTAGCATTTAGGGAAGCATTAGAGGTGTTACAATGAAAATTCATCATTTTACAAAATGTTATAAATACATGGTCCAAGAGCCACTAAATGTTACCGACTGAGGTTGTAACTAGTGGAAGTAAAAGCAGGTTTAGAGGATATGTAGAATAGATAACAGTTAACCCTTGATTCAAAGAAGGTAAGATTATAGCATTTGAGGAAACAATGAGAAGTCTTGTTTTTACTAAACGTTACAATACAAGCCCTAAGAGCCACTAAAGGTTACTGCCTGATTTAAGTTGTAACAGGAGGAAGGAAGTGAAGACTATGATGATATGTGCGATAGTTAAAGGTTAATCATTGTCTCACAGAACTTAGGACTGTAGCATTTGGGGAAACATTGGTGATGGCACAATGACAAGTCTTGTTTTTACTAAATGTTACAATACAAGCCCTAAGAGCCACTAAAGTGTACCAACTGAAGTTGTTGTATGAGGAGGAAGCAAGTGAAAATTATGAGAATATGTGTGATAGATAACAGTTAACCTTTGACTCAAAGAAGTTAAGATTGTAGCATTTGTAGAAGCATTGGTGGCAGTTTTTATTTTAGTAAATGTTACAATACAGACCCAAGAGTCATGAGGATATGTAAGATATACAATAATTAATCATAGACATCAATATGCATTGAATGCTGGGTGTTATTTGTGAAGGTTTGAACTAGTGGAATACAGAAATCGCCTGAGTAGTCTATAACTAACTCAGCTCAAGAACTTCTCCGACACTGTCTTTTGACACTCCACTATTTAACGTCCTTGCTTGTAGACGAGTTCATCTTTAAGAGGGGTGGTAGGTTCCTACACAACATTTTGCTATAGTGAAAAGTACTTTGCGCAAATGAGCAATGTAATGACTACCCAAATATTAATAGTGTTGGTTATGGCAGCATTGTCTTGTTGATTGTTTTTGCTAGAGTTGCTTTGATCAATCATTCTGGTAGTTTTGCTTTCATCATTTCCACTAATTTCAGTCAACATAATGCTACTTGTTGGCGCGTCTCTCAACCGAAAGACTTTATTTCCATTATAAGATATTTTTATACTTTCTCCAGAGTTGATCGTGATAATTTTAGTTATTGCATATCTGTTTAAATTATGATATTTTGTTAAATTCGCAAAGTATTTCTTTATTTGTCTATCGTCTTTATAGATACAAATGTTATTGCCTTTTCTTCAAATATATCTCTGAAAGATTTGCATGTAAGCAAAATAGTTCCTTGTAAATCTGTATTTTCCACATTATTTCTTGATTATCTGAAAATAAATGAAAAAAGTTATTAAACTTTTGGTCATTTCAGTAATAACTTGACTGAAATCAAAAAAATATTAACATACACTTTGAATCCAATCAGTGCTTAAAATAACAAAAAACAATATTGATTCATTTTAAGTTTGAATTTGCAAAAGGCAAATAAAAAAATCCTAAAGGAACTATTTTCTTAATAGAAAAATAAATGATTGTCTTTATATAGCATTTATCTAATATATATATATATATATATATATATATATATATATATATATATATATATATATATATATATATAAAAGGTAATAAATCTGTTGGTATATAATTCAAGTGGATTGAGATAACATCCATTCATCCTGATGCATTAAAGTTCAAGTTCTACATAGTGTAGGTTGAAAGTTACTAATTTGGTGTTGACTGTATTGAATTTTATGCCAGTCCTTCCCTATTGAGTTACCTGGGCTGGTCATGAGGAGAATGAGCTGATCAATTTGGTCTTCCAGACCTTTTGAGGGTGCCCTATAAACTTTTGCATCATCTGCATAGATATTTCACTAATGATTAGAATGCTATTAAACAGATCATTAATATGCAACAGAAAGAGGGGGTAGGAAATAAAGAGAACCCTGAAGAATGCTGGTTTATGGGCTTCCAATGACTGGTCATTAACGACAACCCCCAGAGCTACCTTGTTAGGAAGGACTTGAGAATTAAGGAAATCCATCCACGGATTTCATAGCCAGAAAGTTTTATGTGAAAGCCCCTGGTTCCACACCTTGTCATAGGCCTTTGTATATATCTCGAGCAATGGTACTAAATGGATGAATTTATTACCTTGTCCCTCACCGATTCTGTGAGTAAATGACAGTTGCTTTATCAGCTGTTTATCTACCAGGGCATACTGATCAATCAGAGGTTGTTCCCGTTGATGATGTTAAACCCAAAGCATGGCTATTGTTGGATTAGCCTTTTTGTTCAGAGTAATTAGTTAAAAACCGATAACCCTCAATTCTTCAGAAGGATGCTTGTCAGAAACAAAATCTGTACATGAATTTTCCAGATATGCATCAGAACCTTTGCTGATAGAAAGGATAATTTTTAATTATCGACATGTTGGGTTGGTGCATAATTATCAGGCGTTTTTATACAATATTTATTATGAAAAAAGAAATATAATTCAACAATAACGTTTTTAAATGATTATTCTGGAGCTTATGATTATTAACACGATAATTGAAAATAAAAATATTTTATTAAAAAAGTAAACAAACAACAATTTTTATTAACAAACACGGTTTAGAAAAACGCCTGATAATGCGCACCAACCCAATAATTTTCTGTAGCAAAACAATGGAAATATTAGGAACAATTTATTAGTAGAACATGCCTTATACAGGCATAGACATTTTCAACTTATCACCGGGAATTCTTTGGATAACATCTTGAGGTGGAAAATGGTTAGCAAGTTTATCTTGTTAGAACAATTATCACTGAGTAGTGATATCGATCATCACTGGGTGTCCCCCACACTCAGTCTTTTAGGCCAAATCTCTCTGGAAGCTATAGCTCCAGAGTTTTCCAGAGGATTGTCAGAGGAGGAGAGTTTTTTCCTGCTGAAGCAGATGCTGCAGTTATAGTGTTTATTCCATGTCAGGAGTCTCCTCCCTTGCATTCCCTCCCACTGTTGCCTCAACATCTGTTATGTAGCATTATATGACCAGCTATGACTAGCTTAGGCAAGAGCTTTATGCAAAGTTAAGATTGTAACACCCGGGGAAGCATTGAGGTGGTATAATGACAAGATTTCTTTTAAATAATACAATATAATGACCAAGAAACCACTAAAGTTTACTGGACTGACGATTTTAAGAGGAGGAAGTAAGGCAGATTATGCAGATATGTAGGATAGATCATGGTTAACCCTTGACTCAAATAAGAAGCATTTAAGGAAGCAACACAGCTGGTAACAATGAAAAAGTTTTTTTTACTAAATATGGCAGTACAAAACCCCAAGGTCCATTATTGTAACAGGTTAAAGAAAGGAAGATTAGAGGATATTTATAATAGATAACAGTTAACCTTGAAGTTAAGGGAACCATTAGGTGTGGTACAATAACAACACTTTTTATTAAATTTACAATACTAGGCCCATGCCATTCGTTGTTGTTGTAAGCGGGAGGCAGAAAGAAGATGGATAGATATGAGATAGATAACTGATAACCATTGTCTCACAGAAGTTAGGAATTGTAGCATTTAGGGAATAGGAGGTGTTACAATGAAAATTCATCATTTTACAAAATGTTATAAATACATATCCAAGAGCTACTAAATGTTACTGACTGAGGTTGTAAATTAGTGGAAGTAAAAAGTAGGTTTAGAGGATATGTAGAATAGATAACAGTTAACCCTTGATTCAAAAGAAGGTAAGAGATTATAGCATTTGAGGAAACAATGAGAAGTCTTGTTTTTTAAACGTTACAATACAAGCCCTAAGAGCCACTAAAGGTTACTGCCTGATTTGTTGTAACAGGAGGAAGGAAGTGAAGACTATGATGATAAAAGGATAAGTGAAAGGGTTAATCATTGTCTCACAGAACTTAGGACTGTAGCATTTGGGGGAAACATTGGTGATGGGTACAATGACAAGTCTTGTTTTTACTAAAATGTTACAACACAAGCTCCTAAGAGCCACTAAAAATTACCAACTGGAAGTTGTTGTATGAGGATAGCAAGGAAAATTATGAGAATATGTGTGATAGATAACAGTTAACCTTTTGACCCAAAGAAGTTAAGATTGTAGCATTTGTAGAAGCATTGGTGGCAGTTTTTATTTTAGTAAATGTTACAATACAGACCCAAGAGTCAATGGGAGGATATGTAAGATATACACACTAATCATAGACATCAATATGCATTGAATGCTGGGTGTTATTTCAGAAGGTTTGAACTAGTGGAATACAGAAATCGCCTGAGTAGTCTGATAACCAATCAGCTCAAGAACTTCCGACACTGTCTTTTGACACTCCACTATTTAACGTCCTTGCTTTGTAGACGAGTTCATCTTTTTAAGGGGTGGTAGGTTCCTACACAACATTTTTTGCTATAGTGAAAAGTACTTTAAGAAATGAGCAATGTAATGACTACCCAAATATTAATAGTGTTGGTATATATGGCAGCATTGTCTTGTTGATTGTTTTTGCTAGAGTTGTTTGATCAATCATTCTGGGTAGTTTTGCTTTCACATTTCCACTAATTTCAGTCAACATAATGTTACTTTTGGCGCTGCCCCTCAACCGAAAGACTTTTATTTCCATTATAAGATATTTTTATACTTTCTCCAGAGTTGATCGTGATAATTTTAGTTATTGCATATCTGTTTAAATTATGATATTTTGTTAAATTCGCAAAGTATTTCTTTATTTGTCTATCGTCTTTATAGATACAAAATGTTATTGCCTTTTCTTCAAATATATTCTCTGGAAAGATTTCCATGTAAGCAAAATAGTTCCCTTGTAAATCTGTAGGCTTTTCCCACATTATTTCTTGATTATCTGAAAATAAATGAAAAAAAAGTTATTAGCTTTGGTCATTTCAGTAATAACTTGACTGAAATCAAAAAAATATTAACATACACTTTGAATCCAATCAGTGCTTAAAATAACAAAAAACAATATTGATTCATTTTAAGTTTGAATTTGCAAAAAGGCAACATAAAAATCCTTCGGTTGAACCATTTTTTTTAATAGAAAAATAAATGATTGTCTTGTAGTTTACCACAACATAGCTTTACCAGTTTTGCCAAGAAGTTATTAAGTGACACTGACCAACAACTGTAAAAACAGGACATTTCCTGCCTTAACTCTCTTGTCTTTCTTTTCCTTCTAGCATGCGGTAGAAGTGATACTATTTGGACCTGGGTATGGGGAAATCTTTTCCCTTAGTGTTGTGGTAGGATCCACCTAATTTACATAGTGTAGAACCGACCATATAAATATGGTTGGTAATGGGAAGACAAGGGGAGGAATCAAGAGATTCAATCCAGAGACTCTGCCGATTGCGACTAAGTCAACATATTCTCCAGGAACGGTCTTCCCAAGAATATACAAAAGACTATATGTAAGTATTGTGTACACTTTCTTGTTTCAATACATTTTGTTCTAAGTACATTTTGTGTTGTATTATTATTCCATGCATTAGTCAAGTTTCAACACTTAGTAACTTTTCACACACATACGAGTGTGTCACACCTCCAAAAACCTGAAATATATTTTTCTGCACACAGATGGATGTAACTAGGATTAAAGAATTAGTTAGATATTTAGACACCATAATGTAAACAACATGTGGATGTAGTTTCAGTAAAATAACAAAAGTAGTAAATCAGAATTAAGGATTCAATGTTGGCTAATCAAATAGAAGACTGAGAATCTAAAATTGTGTTCAAGCTGAGCCTATCTCTAACAATATAAGCAGGGGAGAATCAGCATTTAAATAGCAGTATAGTGATAGAAAAAACAAAATGAATAATTCTGTTATTATTTACTTTTTTCCCTATTTTTCCAATGAAACATGACCCAGTACACATGTTAGTACTTCATATGTCCATTCCACAAAGTCTTTCATTGCAGGTTGACCACAAATTCTTGATTGGATTTAAATCAGGAGAGTTTCCAAGCAAGTTGATAGAATTTTGATTTGCTCACTGGTAAGGCTTGCTATTTGTACAATGTTACAATTTTTATACGCTTCCTTGGAGTAATGTTCATCACAGACAATGGTCGTAAAACAACTAATTGGTAGTTGAAACAATACTGTCTGGGAGTGATGAAAATCTGATGTAGTTACTGATGATGCAATATTTTTCAAGGCCAAAAAAATTTCATCATACACACTGAAAAGAGATTCATATTACTGCACACCACTGCAAATGACCTAATCTGAGGAAAAAATAGAAATCAATTTATACCCTGTCACTCCCGTTGGTCTAAAACTGACTGTATGATGAAAGAAAGGAAACTGAAGTGGTTGTTTTAGTTAATTTGTGCAAGGGTGTAAGTTAAACTTTTCAACACAGCCTATCAAAGAATTGGATTTTACCTTACAGTTAAATACATTTTAAATAATTAAAATACAATCTCATTTAAAACAACAACAACCATAAACAATAGGAAAGCATTCAAAGAAATTTTGCACTATTTACATTTGCACTATTGTCCTCATTTTTGTTGTTGTTATCACGTCCTGGCCATTGTGTTCTACAGCCTTCATCAGTGTGTACTTGGACTCAGTGGAAACAGGGTGAGCAATCCTAAAAATAAGAACTAGATGAGATATCCTTAAACATAATCATTGGAATGAGAAGTCTACCCCAAAGATTAAATAAAGGGTTCAGTTCAGAATTCTCTGTAGGTTAGCCAATTCAATATACAGGCTTACAGAAACAGTTGAGCAATAACAGAATGTTGTAAATAAAAATAAGAACTAGACTATATATCTTGATATGAGTAGTGGAACAAGAACAGTCTACCCCTGTCATCTGTAGATTGAATAAAGTGTTTACTTCAGAATTCTGTAGGTTACCTCGATTGATATATCCATGATGAAGGTTGGAATGTGTTGTGATAATGGCCAAGTAGCAACAAAGATGAGGACAATAGTCTGAATGTAAATAGTATAAATAATGATAACTCCTCATCCCAGAAATTCAGACAGAAATTATTTAAGGATTTTGTGTAAAAAGAAATCTATTTATTATGAAACTGCTTAAATTTTAGGTAAAAATCATAGTTATTAAGACTACTTACTTGAAACTTTTTCAAGATGAAACTCTCGATAAATTGTTTTTGGTAAAACTGGAGGATAAAATGCATATAATCAGTGGATATTAACTGCCATGTAGTATTCTCTGTATGGCAAATGATTACAAGGAGGTGCTGAAAAGTTCTCATTCTGATTAAAAAGGGAATTCAAAATAAATTCTGGCCTTTGGTCAGATTTCAGGAAATAGGAGAGGTCAAGAACTTTTCAGGACACTCACTCATACAAGAGACAAAGATGCAAAAATTAGATAATAGATCTTTGAGTATAGAATTTTAAAAATCTTGTAAAATCTATTCATTTTAACACTAAAATAAATAAGGATAGAAATTAGTCTACAATATTTTACATTATTAATTTACAATTTGATATTGGTTAAATTTATTCAAATACTTAAATTCTATAATATGGATATTTTACATTTATTCAATTTTGCATCAAAATTATTGTTTAATAAATAAGATTCTCAGACATATCTCTGTACAGAGTAATTGGCCATGGTTAAATGTAATTGGTAGAAATGCCAAACAAACAGAATTGACAAAGTTTGCAATAAATAAAAACAAGCAAAAGAAAAGAAAAAAAACAAGGCAAAAAAATATTAAGCAAGCAAATAATACATGCAATGGTAATAAGGCAAAAACTAATAAATAATAAGGCAAAAAATTCACAAACTTAGAATGGTGTTAACCATTAACACTCTAAAGATGATTTATTCCCAAGCCAAAATGCTTGTACTACAATTGTAGGTGACTTCATTTGCTGAACAAATATATTTGCATCTATGTGGTTTTACATATATATTGGGAAGGTGGGGGAGTATTTTGCAGTCATGGTAACCTAATTGAAACCAATACCCACCTCAATTAAATGGATGAATGCACACATTTCCCCTCCCCTTTCTTCACCTATTATGGGGACTATACAAACAAATACATATAAACATTTACAATTGTTTTGCAATTTCTTTGTTATCTTTTTTAACTTTTAATATTTCAAAACTTTTTTTTATATCATAGCATTTATTTATTTATTACTTACAAAAAGGTGGTAAAGGAAAAAATATTCTATATGAGAAATAAAGAAATTGAGTTTCATCGCTGACCACAATCTAAATAAGTTATTGTATCTTCATTTTACCTTTCTAAAATAAACATGTTTATATTATTCAGCATTCTGATTTATGTTTCTTTGAATTATTTTGAGTGAATAAATGTTGAAATTGGAAAACATTTTATTAAATGACATTTTTACACATTTGTTTTCCATAAAGGTATGGAAGGTTTTGGCAGTGTTAAATCTATTGTAGCAACATGTTACTCTGTTATTTTGGCTTTAGCAAACTGACTCTTTCAATTTAACTTTGAACAGTTTGTTCAAGCTTATTAATTCTGTTTATTGCCTCGGAGATATTTTACTCTGGTTATCCAAAACCAAAATTATTTCTTTCCTGTTCGTAGTTTTAGTATGACCAATTACATTATACTTCATAACTTAGAGTTATTTTTATGACTTTCATTTATAACTAAGGTCAAAAGCCTGCACATTTGTAAAACTCCTAACATCATAAAACCAGCAACAACCACTGCTCCGATGAGGGCCGAGAGGAGAAAAATTTGGTACAGAGGGGATGCTGTTGTAGTATCTGTTCTATGCTGGAGTGTCTCTTCTCCCTCCCCCAATGCTTAGACAGATTCTTTGGATTTCTTCCACAGCATCATCTGGCTATGACTAGCTTAGACCAGAAATATTCCAGTGGCCAGAGTGGAAACAATCATATTCCCCATGTTAAAAAGTGACCTTGTGTCACATCCTTGACTCAGCGTGGGCTCAGGGTAAATACTGAGGGACAGGCAGGTGGGTGTAAATTCTGGGGCGGAGTAGATGCTGTTGAAGTATCTGTGCCATGCCTTTTGGTTCAGGGAGGTCCAAATAATTTCTAAGCCCAAACCCCAGGAGGCCTTTACCCCAGACAATACCCCTCTTTTGGATTTATTTCCCAGTGCCTGAAGGATCCCCAAAAAGTGAAATGCTGAGGGGGCTTGGGCAATTTTTCCATAGTATTGCTATTAAACCCACTATAAACCTTAACTGAGTCACATTTGGTAGCTACGTAGGAGTACTGAAAAATACCTCTGTTACATGCCTCTAAGTTTAGTAAATTATTAAATTTATAGCATTAGTAAAAACATGGAAACAAAACCTACCAAATTCAAAAACGAAGATAATTAACTGAAAAGAGAGAAATCAAAAACATTATTTTTGGAAAAAAAAAAAAAATAAAAAGAGAAAAATTGACAGTTGTGAGTTTGGCATTTTAAGGTATGAAAAAAATCAGTTTTTCTTGATTAAGATGAAAACTTTCCTCCCCCCACTCCAAACAAAAAAAAAATGATCTTACTAGTCTCAGCAGATTTTTGTTCATTTTCCCTGAAAAAAAAAAAAAAAAAAGAAAAAATTTAAACAAAGTCAGTTAAGTCTCATACATGATACAAACTTTAGCAATCATGTCTCTTTTAATTCATTACTGATAAGGCCAATGTTTCTCAACCTTTTTAAGCAACGGCATCATCTTGGAGTAAATGAAAACATCATGGCACACTTAGCAAAACTTTAAAGGGTATACATTTATGAATTTGTGCGGAAAAGGTTTGAAAGTTTTGTGGGCCATCAGGAACCTCTTCTCACGACTGTCAAACGGAGAACAATGTCGTGGTTTGGACACATTACAAGGCACAACATGATATGGTCCGCAACGTTGCCTTGCCTTGCCTCCTGGATGTGCTTGCGAGTGGAAATGATCAAAAATGAGACGGCGCATAGATGGTGGGCTATATGGACGCGGGTTACCCGTACTGGTATTGCAGTAGACCGATCTGCTCGTAAATGGGAGCGGTCGTTTCTCAATATTTAAAGAAGTATCCAACCGGACGGCTTGTAACGTTTCATTTTTCATCTGTTCGTCTGCTAAGTTGTCAAAATTAAGTGTTGTGTTTTGAATTGCACTAAGTGTTGTTCAAAAGTGCATCGATAGTGTGTTGCTGGTTCCACTAATGTAGCGAATGTCGATGAGAATTGTGATATATAGTCCATGTAACGAATATCTCGTGGATTGTTTTTATCAAGACTTGGTGGTGGCGGCATTAGTGGTTTATGGTCGTAAAGATGGAAAAGTCACGTCCCTTCTAAAAATATGCCAGTAATGTTGATGGTTAAATAAATCGCCAACACTTCATGGGAGAAGGTACTATATTTCCGTTGGGCCGTATTAAGTTTCACTGAGAAAAACGATAACGGGTTTTCCACACCGTTAACGACTTGGTATAGCACTACACCGACTGTGTTTTTTTACGCATCAGTGATTTGTCAGCTTTACTAGTCGGGCAAAGAATGTGGCATATGAGAGTTTATATACAGTCCTGCAACGCTTATTTTTAGCATGATGAAAAAATCTAGCTCGTCCAAAGATAATGTAATTTTCAGGTTATTCCGCTTGTGCTTGGATAGAAGATTTGTTAGTGGGAGGAATATGATAGTGTAGTTATTAATAAACTGTTGATAATAATTAAGCATTCCTAAAAATCGTCGTAGCTGGCGTAAGGTGGATGGTGGTGGGAAATCATTGATAGCCTTGACTTTTGAATTTTCGGTCAATGGGTTAACCTAGGTACCTCCTTGAGATCGCTAAAAAAAGAGCATAGCATGATGAAAAAGACGCCAAACTTGACGAAAACAAAATTTTATCGTCTAAATGTTTGTTATTCATTAAGAGGAAAGGTCAAAGTATTTTTTGGGGTATTTTTTTCCATTTTTTAATCGTTCCTAGCACGTTAAATTTTCAAAAAAATCTAGTTTTTTGAGTCAGCAAAATTGACCATTTTTTTTCCATTTTAAAAAAAAATGGAAATCTGACTTTGAAATTTTTTTAAATATCAATTATCATTTTTTCAAAACTTATTTTAAGAAAATCAGAAATTATAATGTTTATTTAAAATATTTTGAACCAAACTTAACTTAGCTTTTGTGCCAAAAAGATGTAATTTGAAAATAAAACAAAGCAGGTCATAAACTTTCGCGTCTCTTGACATGTGATGAATGATATATTTACGAATTCCATGAGGCTAATTTGTTCAACAGAAGGGAGAAAAGTGAAATAATTTACATTTACGTGAACAAATTATTTACCCCGTTATTTTTAAAAAACTTTCAGCGGTCAATTTTTTTTTTTTTTTTTTTGTACTTAGCTTTCACCTTTACGTTTATGATGCTTTATGGGAAATATATTCTAAAAGAAATTAAAATAAAACTGTTAAGAGTGACATTAAATTTCATATTTCTTAAGAAAGGTATCTAATTAATTTTATAGGTACCTTTTATGAAATTTATCAGAATTGTACATAAAATACTATAATTTTATGTACATTTATTACATTCTACTGTTATTTGTATTTGCATTCATTTTATTATTAATTTTGATATTTCATTTATGGAAAATGTCGTAACTGAGATTAATATAAAATAAGATCATATAAATTTCATAAGATGATACTGATACTTGTAGGTAACCTTATAAGTTGAAATTGAAAATCAAATTAACTTCTCCACACGTGTTTCGCAAAAGTAAAGGCCTTTAACAGCGGAGAACAATGCTTAACTCAAATAACGAACTTAATTATATTCTGTTGGTCTTCCGTATTTTATAATTACAGCTCGATTATGAGCACAAAATTACATTTCTTAATTACTGGGGATTTTCTGATTAGTCAAAATGATACAATTTACAAACGCTAAAAAAGATCTATCTCATAAGGACACTTATGAAAGCCAATGCCTTTTTTAACTAATTTATAATATTTTAACAACTTAAATGTAAAATCTATTATAATTAATGAAATAACAAATAATTGTATTAAAATTCATTTTTCATCGAAAAATTTTTTGCTTTCAGAAAATATTGTCCATATTCATAAAAAAATAACTAAAAGCAAATAAAAGCATTTGAACAAATAATATCTTTTGTTTTATTACACATATATGTTACAATTATAGCTGATTTTCAGGTACTGCGTATCCAATAAAAAAAAAAAAAACATGATTTGCGTTTCCTCAAAGCCCTGTGCTTTTAATTATTATAATACTAAAACCGATTGATCGAATTTCTAGCGTTTCATAAATTAGTTGTGGGGGGTAATAATATTTAAAAAATATTTCTACCATGACTTTATAAAAAAAACTTGTCTTATAATAATTTTGATCATCTGTAAATAGTTTCTAGAAGTTTCATTAACATCCGATAATTATTTATTTTTTTTTGATTTTCAAATTAATGCGTCATACCAAAAAAAACGTGCTAAAAAATTGTCTGTTATTTACTAGTTCATTGATAAATAGAAAAAGGTTTTTTAATCAAAATTTAGAATGTTCTAAAAAAGGAAGGAAAATTTTAAAAAAAAAAAAAAAGCCACTTTCCTCTTAATAATAATATAGCATTTAGACAATAAAATTTAATTTTTGCCAAGTTTGGCGTTTTTTCATCAAGCTATGCTCTTTTTGTATGATTTCGTGGAGGTGCCTATAAACAGCAAAATGAATACTGGAAGAAATTAATTAGACTCTCCGAAGATAATTTTTTTAATAGCAGTTTTTCAAGTATTCGGCTCAATAGTGAGAAAGCAATAGTCTGATTTACTTTGGTTTTATATCAACCATCACAGAGGTTTAATTTAAAATGATAATGATGAATGAAACATGGATATGGAATAAGAGATGGTGGCAAATGAAGATTAAGGGACCTAATTTAGGACGACTTTATTGAAATGAAGTGCTTCACTGTACTAAACTTCTCTTTAAATAAACTTTATTTTTTAAATATCATATCCAGGGATAAACTGGGTGAAGATGGGTTCGATCCAAAATTTTTTAAAAATCAGGGCACAATAGCTTATTTCAAAATTTTTTTTTCTTTGTAATAAAAAATTGAGTGTAAAATAAATTTCACTTGTAAAAAAATTTCAAATTCTTTTTATCAAAGTACAAATACAGATTATTACTAGAATTATCCAAGCAAACAAACAATTAATCATTTTCAAAAGAAATAAGTTCTGTCTTATCTTTGAAATATGTTGGGGTCAAGGAGATTGTTGTATTATTGACATATAAAAATATAAAGCTTTTTCAACATAAAATAAAATAAAAAAAATTGAAACAAAAAAATATGTTAATGTCTGTTCAACAAAACTCAAATTTCCTTTCCTTTCAAACACAATGTCAATTAGTATCAATTTTTGATAAAAAGACTTTACAATTAATTTTTGTTGCCTAAATATTTAGAAGAACTCTACTCAGCAATTTTATCATTTCGCTTGTTCTTGTAATTTTCTATTTATTTTTAGATTGGGGGGGTGTCTTGCTTTAAAAGGATGAAATGTCAACTGATCCCTGATTAAAATGAATGCAGGTGGAGAACCTTCAATTTCCTTAATTAAAACCAGTCTATTTAACTTAAATTATTTAAGGAGGTTGATGTTTTAAATGAAATGGATTATTAGTGTGTGTGAGATTATTTATCTATATATATATATATATATATATATATATATATATATATATATATATATATGTTCATTTCTAGAAAAGGAACCATAAATGTAACAAGATTGAAAATAATGTACGAAAAAAACTTGTTGAAATGTTCTGACACCTTTTCTTTGAAAAGAGTCGAGGAAGGGTCCAAGTCAATCTTTTCACTTTGAAAAGATTTCACAACATTATTAAGAAAATTTTTCATTTTTGATTTTCTTAATTTAAAGAAAATCGTTTCTTTTTTTTTTTCTTTTTAGTGCCATGGTTCACACTCATCCCCAAAAATCATGTTAATTTTGGCTCTCCATTCTTTGAATTTACTTTATTACTTGCGAATTGTTGAAAATTCTTGTTTAAGAAATGAAAAGGATTTCCCTGTTAATTCACCCAGTTTTGTAATTGAATTGAGACATTTGTGGCAAGGATTCTCAAATGAATTAGCTATAAATGTCTGGGAGAAGTAGCCAACATGCTCGGTGTAAAGTTCTTACTTCCTTTTCAAACAAATATCTTTAGAGTAGTGATGGGCTTGAATCTTGAGTCTGTAAAAAGGTTGTAGAATGCAGATTCATCCCCCAGAAATAAGACCATGTCAACAATACCTCAACCTTGTCACATTTGAAAGTGAGGATTGAGCAGCTCAGCCCAGATAACTATGTAATGTCTCCATTTTGGTTAACCGTAATAAATAACAAAGACTTAAAGGTTGTCTAGTAAGAGTCAAACATTTGAAATAATAGATGACGTGACTTACTGAGTTCCAAATTGAGACATTAATATGCTTATAAAAACGCGTAAATTTCAAGAATTAGTTATTCCAAAAATTTCGCTTTAAGATTGAAACAGAGATTAATTACTTTAATTCAATTTAATTCAAATAATTATATTGAAATTTTCGGCATTTGTTTTGAAACATGAAAAACTCTTAATGTGAAGGAATCATATTTTTAAATAATAATTTATATATATACATATATATATATATATATATATATATATATATATATATATATGGCAGTGTTTGAGTGTTTCTATGTGTGTGTCTATATATATATATATATATATATATATATATATATATATATAGAGAGAGAGAGAGAGATAGAGAGATAGAGAGAGAGAAGGGGATGAGAGAGAGAAATAAAGAAAGCGAGAGAGATTAAATATATAAAGCTGTAAACTGCTGATATCACCTGCATTTGGGCGACATTTTTTTTCCGCCTACGAATTTCTTCAGATGCTGGGAAGCCAACATCTGATGGCTAAGATTCAAAAAAAATATGGTTATTTTCTTTTTTTACACATGAAATGTTTTCAGAAGCTAAAAACCCCTAATTTTATTTTCAAAAAATTAAAAGCATTAGTTCTATTTCA